ACTTACTACTGTAACTCAAAAAGAAAACTTAAACAGAACCAAAAAGTCCAGTAAGGGCAGAATCATGACATTCTGCATGCATCGATGCATATATTCTGGCTTTGTTGCTTTGCAAGTTCTGCATTTCCCACATGAACTTCTAGTGTTAGTAGTAATTGTTGTTAAATTGTCCTACCTTTAAAATTAAACAAAACAAAAAAATCTAGTTACTAAGAGAAGATCATAAGCACTGGATCCAGTACAGTCCTACTGTGAGCCAAACCTTCTAGCTCTGAGTTGGTCTGATTTTGATATGAATCTGATTATTTAGGCTGTTTTTTCTGTTGATACTAAATCACTTTAATATGTCTTTTTTTTTTTATAATTAAAATAAGCTTATTTTAACAACCTCTGTCTGAAATGTTTTGCTGTGAGCCTATGTGTTTGTGTACAGCTCATTTATACATGCTTTAGTTTTGTTATAACATCGTAGTCTCTAGATTTTACAGGCTGTCACATTAGATAAGTGAAAAACATTTCTACATGAGTGTAGTGTTATAATACCTATATGTTTACCTTTAACTTTATTTAGCTAATTTTGTAAATACAGATTTGAGCAAAGCAAATGCCTTCCTGTGAAAAATGGACAATTTATAAACCTGTGTGAAAGAGCCCTCAATGATTCAACTTCCTGTTTCTCAAAAAAGAAGAGAGGAAAAGAGGTGCCTAATCGCTGAACAGTTTTAGTTCTCTTTCTATTAACAATGGTGAATAAAAGTCATTTCAAGTTAAATTTATCCTCCCATAGCCTCTTAGCTGGGTTGCCCAAGAGCATGTTGTGCGCACAATGTTTGAAAACTATGGGCTATTTTCTGCAAAAAAAAAAAAAGGTTAAATTTACTTCAAGCCAAGTAGTTCTTTTTTTCTGTTTTTGTAGTTTTAGTTGTTAAAAATGTGGACAATCTTATTTTACATGAAATTCAAGTTTAGTTGAGCTATGTTAAATAAGCTTTTTAAAAGAGGAAAACTGTGAGATGATCTTCCAAAAATCAGTTGTTTGTCTTTAACATTAAAAAAGGATAAAGAGAAAAAAATATATTAAAAATGACTCAAAGTTCTTTTTTCATTATTTTGCTGTTTGTATTTATGATAATAAACTAAACTTCTTTAATGGCAAGAATCCCACTGGAATATGCCCTTATATATATTTATACAAACTAGATGTCACATCAATTAACTGATTGGAATTTAATTGCTAATATGTAGTTGTACTCAAACTCGTACTAGTCTTCTGCTTATCCAGGACTGGGTTGTGGGGACAGCAGTCTCAGCAGAGACTCCCAGGTCAGACGAGAGGCACAATCCCTCCAGCATGTCCAAGGTCGTCTCTTGGGACTCCTCTGGGTGGAAGGGGCATGAAACAACTCCAGAGGGAGGCATCCAGGGGGCATCCGGAAAAAAAATAGGGCAGAAATGCTTCAGCTGGCTCAGCATTCATGGATCACATGTCCTCTGACTGCTGCCCAATTCTCTTTGCACAGGTCCATCATGGTTTTGTAGTTACATTTCTAATTTCAGCACCTATGCAGGAGTCTTTGTCAATTCTGTAGGCTGCGAGTCAACTGATATTAACCCCACTGAGCATGTGTTTCACTTGTGAAAGACAAAACTTTTCACAAAAAGACCCACAACCAAACAGCAAGTCAAAGCAGCAGCAGTAAAAGTCCAGCAGAGCATAAAAAATGAGGAAACACAGCATCTGCCGATGTCCGTAAGTTCAAAGTAATTGCCAACAAAAGGTTTCTAACAGTGACGGCTGCTGCTCTCTAAAACAGGGGAGGCTCAATGGTGTTAGTTAAATTCAAACATCATGTATTGCATGAACAAATGTTAAAACACATGTAACACATCATTACAACTGGTGGTAACAGGTGTTGTGAAGCGCTCTGAAATAATGAAATTCCAGAAACCAAGGCAAGAGTTCAACAACAGATGACTGTTGACTGACTTAATGATCACTTTTCCCTCTCTTTTCCTCTTTGAGGAAATCCTCCTCGCTGTCTGGCCACTGTCAGTCAAAAAAAATCCTAAACTATGTTTGCCAATCAGCATTGAGCAGCCAGCTTCATGACCCGCCCTTCCTCCATAGACCCCCAAAGAGGTTTAGCCTCACAGGAAGTGATGTATTTTAGCATATTATTCAATCAGGGCTCTACTTTCTCACTGCTTTATGTAAAAGACAAACGATTTCTCATACAGGGGAGGTTTATCCTCCCTTCTATTCAGTGAGAAATTGCCACTAGTTTCTAACCAAAAACTAAGATTCTTTATTGAACTGTTTGTTTGTGCTCTTTTTTTCGCAAATTCCAAAAAAAAAAAAAAAAAACACGGGGGGCCTGACAAACTAATTGTTTTATTCCTGTTATCTTTGTTCTATTGTATATTTTTTACTGATGGACATGGTGATGTAATGTAAGAGTGAAAGGGTGGATATTCTCATCCTGCAGTTTAACATGAGTTTTATTTTTACTTTGATTCAAAACCTTTGTGTGAAAAAAATAAAGCATAACCTGTACATCTGCTATATTTACAGTATACACACTAGTGTGCAAATAGACATGCTTATAGTGAATAACATCATATTGTTGTTTTTCTGCTGATATTAGCTAATTAATTAGTCAGGCTATCTGCTTGCTTGCTATCCTGCAGTCAGCTGCTTAACAGAAAAGAACAAACTCTGAATCTCCAAATCAGACCACATCTCATTTGTAATCTCGGTCGTTGTCACTGCTTTATCCAGGCTCTGCACAGACTGCCAAACCACATCACACATAACCGATTTAAAACTAAAGGGGGGCTTCAATTTTGTCCGAGGTTTTTACTTTTAATTGTTAATTATTCATTTTTTTTTATATATTTTAATGCAAGATTGCACTTCTGATTTTGATTCTTTGATACTTTAAAGGAAACTTTATCCTTTAATGAACAACATTTACTGTTTGTTTGTCTTTTTTTTAAGGGGCCTGTGGGCTGTGTACTCTTTTTGAGTTTTTCTTTGTTTTATATGACCATAAAGTAAACACGGTCAGGTAGACAGTTGGTCATACTTTATGGACATTGTGCATTACACTTTTATTCCACCGATATTTTTTGCAGACGTTTTATATGCCCTCTGTGCATCTAATGGTTTGTACAGGGATTTACACCTAGGGTATCATTTTTCTTCTTTATTTTGTTTCATACTGGCTTAGTGGAGAGCTCTGTCAGTGATGGTAACAAAATAGAGCTGGACAGTCTTGGGGGTCAAAGAGCTAAGAGCAAAGAGAAAGTCATGAGGAGGAGAATAAGAGAAGGATTAGAGGGTCCGTTACCTAGCAACCCAGCATCAATCAGTGAGATGATGTTTGAGGTTTAAAAGTATATGTGAACATTAAAATCAGTATTTTAATTAAATACATTTACAGTGTGCAACCAACTTTGTAGAGGACAAAGCAAGATTTTGATTATTGTAATACAGCAGCAGGAACAAAGATCCCCTCCTCTGTGCTCTAAACTGGATGAGATGAGTCCAAAATTAAATGTCTTTTGCTGTCACGTAATATCTCATAAAATGATTTATAAGTTTTTGGTTGTATCTGTGATGATTGGTGCTGTATTTATTATCAATATTTCTGCTAAGTAAATCTGCTGACCTTTAAACCCGAACAGGTTGTAGGGTGTGCAAAGGTTTTTCAAGCTTAAATAAACATGCAAACTGAATGCATATCTGGTCCAGTCAGAAAATTTTCTATACAAAAATTGACAGGTTTTTGTTATTCTGTTTACTAAAAGACATCTTGACAGGCCACATGCTGTGACTTTGCAATGCATAATCAAGAAAGTGATAAAAAATATAAAATTCACCCTATTGTCATCTGACATTCTTCTCTTCTCTCTTCATGTACTCTATTGGGTGAGATGTTGATAGAAGCAACATTTTAAATCAACACTGACTGCTGGGACACTGGCGCAGCCTGCAGTGCAGAACAGTTAATGCATGTTTCAATCTGTCAGGGGAAATTAGCAGTTCCAGGCTTATTTTACCTCAGGAAAAATAAAAAAAGACTGTTTCCAAGAAGGCAGATGGCATCACTGAGATTAGTCCTAACAGCATGCAAACATCCCCATGGAGATGTTTAGTTTTTCAAATAAAGCATATTTCTTTTCTCTCATCTTTCATAAAATACAAACATCAGCAGAGCCCTAAATCACAAAGATTCGCAGTCTGGGAATATATGTAGTTTGATTTAAATGTCGTTCAGGGGTTGATAAGAATTGGGAAAATTTAGTTTTTCTGGGTTTTTTTTTTTTTTTTTTTCAATTTATGCATGCTTTACCGCTTATCCATATCGGCTCCAATCATTATTCTTTGTGCCACTATTTTCATTTTTTTTTCCTAACTTATTTCTTTCTTATGTCAATCCTTTTTATTTCTCCCTGTGTCCTCTCTTCTGAATTACCTTGATTTATTACTTTTCCATGGATTTTTTTTCGATTAAGAAATGTGTCAGAACCCCATATATTATAATGTTATTATCTAAAATAACACCTTCTTCTCCATATAAGAGCTGAGTTACACTTTGTACAACTTGATTCCTGTCTAGTTTCAGTCAACCATTCAGACTATCATTAGCTGCCCAGTTTCCCAGGCAAAGTTCTGTCTGTGTGAAGCTGATTTGGTTCTGGACAGAGATAATTGGGGTGAACTGTTGAAAGTTTTATCATGGAGGAAGTTGGGATCATTATGAGACTGGAGTGACTATTGATGTTTAAATGAGTGGAAAAAATAGAATTTCTTTTTTAGAAAAGCGACTACTCACATATTTGCAGAGGGATTTTGGCACATAGAGTTGCTGAATATGCAGATATTCCCCTTTTTGCTTGTTTGTGTGTTGTAGATTTCTGGCCTCTGTATTAATTTGCCAAAAGCAACTGATGGCTAAATGTCTAATTTGGATCATGGTTCTCTGTCTCCCTCTTAGCTAATTTCCAGTGATGCAGATGGGGCCATTCACAGGGCGGGACGCTTCAGGGTGGAGAATGGCTCATTAGATGAGGTACCAACAGCATCCATCCATCCATCCATCCATCCATCCATCCATCCATCCATCCATCCATCCATCTGTCCACCTATC